TCCCTAGATGTGCTAACCATTCACCTTGCAGAAACAATAGACAGGAGTGTTTCTCCCTTACAAATTTCTGACAGCAATGAACTGTCCAATTATAACTGTGTTTTTGAGTTCATAAGGACCAACAAGGAGATCTGCCATTTCCAGATAGGAAATATATGCACTTTACTGGCATATATGTACCCAAGAATGTGAGTTTTTAGCTGATGCAGTCCTGCAGGACTTGCTGCAGAAAACCTCTAGTTCTCATCCATTAAGGCATCACGCATCTACAATTCCCTTGTTGGTCTGATTTTGTACACTGCAGATGCTGTTGCTTTCCACTGTTCATGTCAAGCTAGGCGAACTGCAAAAGGTGACAGATTTAAGATTTTTCTCAAGCAAGAACACAGTGTAACTAACTATTTTCTCTGGAACTAATTCCTTCCCTGGTTAACACTCTGTAGGTGAAAATAAAAAGTTCAATTTTTTTTTTTTTAAATAAAAAAGAAAACAGAATTAAAAAGCAGCCAGCCTAAAAGTGGATCATCCTCAGAAATATAACTGTAGAGAGACAGACAATCGTTGTCTGTTGGATATCCAATTCCTTCCAAAGGGGGAAAAAAGCTACATGCTTCTCATAATGCAAAACACACACTGATCTTCAGACGTGGGAATACACCAGAGAATAATTTCCACCCTAAGCAATGAATGACAGCATAATATAGAGTACCTTTAAACAAATACTGCAGCGGCCTCTTACACACAGAGTTTCCAGGAAGGGAAAACATCTGTAGAATATTAACTGACCCAAGAAATGTTTAATGGGCATTTGTCAGAAATGTTATGCCAGAAACACATTCAGAGTTTAATTGGTACAACTGTGTCAGGATTCCCGTGGGTGCCTACATGTACACAGAGGTATATACATATATACAAATGCCACACTTTGATAAAATCCACACTCTGCTCTGACATTAGCCACCAGCATAAGCCATTGCTCTTCTCTTCCTCTCTCCAGTGTCATCTCCCCTCGCCAGCTATTCTGCACTCCTGCTTGAAAATTTCTCTTAACAAACTGGAGGTGAGGAGAGCACCATGGCTGGACCACTGCAAACAACCATGCACTTGCTCCAACAAAAGCAGAATCGAGGTATCACAATCCAAACGTGTAAGAAAATCCGAGTTATTTGCCAAAAGAAATGAAAGGTTCTGCATCTCCACTTACTTGTCTGGGTTTCACTCTGCATACACAGACATCTCCATTAACTGCAGAAGAATACACAAATATAGAGCTATGCAAATGTTAAAGAGCTAAAGCTAGGGCCAAAGTTAGCACACTGACCATATTTTCACTGCTTTTGGTTTTAAGCCAGAGCCATAATAGGTAAATTTTAAAAGTCCTCATTTCAAATGAACTCAAAATGGACAGACACACGGAACAGAAGCAGCACTACTGAAAAATATTTCCTAAAGGTAAAAAGACTGTTCCTCTGTACAAGATTCAGCTGATGTAAAAGAAATAATCAAGAGCTGCTAAGGTTGTGGTGGGATGAATACCACAAACTAGCATGATTAAATGAAGGAGAAAAACAACCCCAAGAAGAGCTTTCTCCATTCTGCCTTCTCCGTGTTTATTCCTCATTTCCATACCATGCCCTTCCACATGATAGCTATTTATACAGCAACAGAGTGATCCAGCAGCTTATCCCACTGGAACTGGAAACAAACTTTTCTTTTTGGTAATGTCTTAGGAATTGATCTGTGCTAGACTGCTTCTTTATTAGTAGAAACAGCTTATGAAGTTTGGGAAACATCCTGTGCCTGCTCAAATTAAAAGGCCTACTTAAAAAAAAAAAATATTTACCTCTCACAGACAAGTCTCATCCCCTTCACACACAGCCTCTGTCCCTTGGCCCTCAACACTCCTTTGGATTTGTTTGCAAAGGGCTGATGAGCAGTCCCATGTGATCAAGTCTGCATGGTTTACACAGGAACATTCCTCACTACATGGTCCAAACAGAAATATGCCTCACTACATTTACTTGAGAGACTTTAGGGAGAGCAAAGGTCTAATGAAAGATGGTGCAACCAGCCACCTCCTCCTGAAAATGCCTAAACAGACAAGCAAATCGACCCGTGACTTAGTGTCCCTACAAAATAAAATACAAATCAAATAAAATTTGGTATATTTACTCCTGTATTTGCTTTTACAGGACTTCTGGTCATCCTACAACCATTCTGCATAAAAAAGATGAACATATTCCTCAAAGGGGATATAAAGAAGGTCATCTAGGGTATTAAGCAGTAGTTTTCTTCCATTTTTCTTAACTGACATGCTGATGAATTATATCACTGAAACACAGGTTTAATGGTATCTTGTGCTATCTTAATGGAGGATCAGAGCTGCTATTTTTAACACAATGTGTCAGAATGTTACAATTTCTTCCATTATTCTGAATACAGCATAAGGTTAAATAAACTGTGATCATGTATTGCTGCATGCTTAACACAAAAATTCCCCAAAAGCTATGAGGGGCAGAGATGGTCCACTGAGAGGTAATCAAATTGAAACAAACAACACACTTTCCATAAAAGCTAACATCAAATTCCTTGTGGTTAAAGAAGTAATTTTGAAATAAAAACAGGTAAGAAGAGTGAATTGGATGCAATTTTAACTATAAAATAAACAGAAGAAAGTCTTTCCTGTGAGAGTGGTGAGACTCTGGAACAGGTTGCCCAGAGAAGTTGTGGACATCCCATCCCTGGAAGTGTTCAAGGTCAGACTGGATGGGTTCTGAGCAACCTGGTTCAGTGAAAGGTGCCCACAGCAGAAGGGTTGGAACTAGATGATTTTTCATATCCTTTTCAACGCAAGCCATTCTGTGGTTCTATGTTTCTATGAAATATGCAAAAAGAAGTTCTTTGACAGAACAGTCATGGGTCAAAGGGGTCAGGCTGAAAATCATGATGAGGAGCAATATTGCCATTCTGGTTTAATTTTGGATGGGTGAAGTACCCATCCAAGGAGTACCCTTGGGATCAGCCCAGGAACTGAAAATCCTAAAAGGCATTGCTGCTGCTTCTAATTCACCATGGCCAACACGACTGACAAATGGGAGTGAGGCTTGGGTGGCAGATAGGAATTGTCTTGATGGCTGCACTGCCATGTCAGTCTCATCACAGATGGGTGGAACAGTCAGTTTCTGCTTCCAACCCCTGCAGGCTGGAAGGGGTTTTATTCAGTCTTTGTCCTCTAATGAATACATGATTTTAACAATTCATGTTAAAATTTATCCTTAGTACATAAAACTTATCCTTAGTACATAAACCACTTCTTTCTGTGGCCCAAACTGTTTCCTGAGATTGCAAATCATTCTCTTTCTTCATATATATTGATTTATAACTTCTACAGATTGTGCTCAGGTTCCCCAGTGAGCATTTTCTTCTGGACTCTTTAATTACCAATTGAGCCCACAGTGGAGTTTTAGAGTATTATTCTGAAGGGCATACACTGCTTAAAACCTGCTAGGAGTGGAAAATGCTACCCAACAGATTATTCTGGGAAATGGAAGAAAAATAATCTCAAAATTCTGGACACAGTTAGAGCTTGGCAACTGCAAGGGCTGCTCTGCTCCCAAATGTTCAGTAAAGAAAACGCTGAGAGTACTAAAGCCCATACACAGAAGTTTCCTGCAGACATTAACTCCTAAACATATGCAGCAGTGGTTATGAGGCAGTTACTTTGAAGTAATCAGACTAAAAGATTTAGATCAAAACAAGTAGACAGTTTCTTAAGCCTACAAAAAGCTCTCTTTCCTTCTGGACTGTCAGGATAGGCCACAAATTATTCCCCAGACAAAGCTAGCATGCTCACAATGTTAGCATTATAATGTTAAATGGCAATGACTAGTTATTGTTATTACCACTTTCTCTCATCCTTGCTTTTGATCTCTCAGTTCTTTGTGAAGGTCCTCTGAATGGAGGTATGCTCTAATCTTCCACATCAATTAACACTTTAATCAATGTTCTTATGCATAATTTTAACAATTCCCTCCAAACAATAAGGGTTTTTTATCCCATATGCATTCTTCATGAACAGCACTTAAAAATACTACTGTAACCTTCCAAGCCCACCCTGGGACTCTTCTCACCTGGAATTCATGCTTTGAGACTCTATAACAACTGCTTTTGCAAAAACTTCTATATTTTTTTCCTAAACTCTTACGCAGTATTGGGACCATTAATCTGTCTCTCAATCATGCTTTCAACACTTCTTTCTACAGCTGTTCTTTCATGTTACATGGGAATTATGTGCAGAGTTCTATTACCTTTTCTCTGCTTCACAGTAAAGCAATTTGTTTAGTCATTTGTGGACTTTTCCTGTTTCCCATTAATATCAGGTTCAAATGCTTCATGAACGATAAAAAAGGAAAAAAATGCTAACCCCTCCTCAAAGAAATGCATGTGTGCATCTTCATGCAAGCTCAGGGGAATGAAAAAAAAAGAAAAAAACAGAAAAGAAAAGAGAAAAGAAGAAAGAGAAAGAGAAAGAGAAAGAGAAAGAGAAAGAGAAAGAGAAAGAGAAAGAGAAAGAGAAAGAGAAAGAGAAGAGAAAAAGAGAAAGAGAAAGAGAAAGAGAAAGAGAAAGAGAAAGAGAAAGAGAAGAGAGAAAATGCTGGCACTTAAGATGCACAGACCTGGGCTCTGTATTCTCCTGGAACTCCCAGGAACATAGTAATAGAGACTGTAATTTCTGGTCTTTAATCCCCCTCACCAGCACTGAGCAAATTGCACTGTGGTCCTAACCTTCCCCACCCAATTTTTCCTACGTGGAAATTAAGTGGTGTTTCCCACAGGATATTCTAGTTTGTGTGACTGATGTTTGTAGAACAGGCAGACAAAAAAACAGACTGAAAGATTTCATAATTCCATTCAACTACACATCTGTCTTGTCCAAATATATATATTTTCTTTGACTGAGAGTGCCTAAGCTGTGGTTTTGAGCTAATGACTCAACTCACGTTTTCATGCTTCATGTGTTTCAGGAGACGCAGCTCTCGGTAAGCTCGTTTGGCAAAGAGTTCAGACTGAAACGGGCGGTACAATTTCTTAATGGCCACTTTGGTACCACTTCTTCCATCGACGGCTGAGCTTTAAGGGAAAAGAAAGAGTTCGGTGAGCAAGGACCGAAGCAAGTCAGCAAACGCGGCCAGCGGCTGCATCCAGCCCCAGGGTGCCGGGCCCTCGGCACGGGGGACACCACCGCCCCAGGCATCTCTGCCAGCAGCCATCTCATCTCGTTCGTTTAAAAGCCTGCCAGACTCTGTGATGAAATGTAGACAGTTATCAAAAGCTTTAAAGAGGAACATCTGCGGAGTAGGGGAAGAAAAAAATCCCCAAACTAAAAATAAGACAAAAAAATCCCACTAAACACCCAAGCCCACCACCAACGCAGAGCCAAACCGAGGGGCCCGCCCCAAGCGCTAAAACACCCCGGGCTCCAGGGACGCTGCCGCTCCGCGGTGCCGCGGGCAGCGCTCCCGGGCAGGGCTGGGGCAGCGCTCCCGGGCAGGGCTGGGGCAGCGCTCCGGGCTCTGCTCTCTCCAGGGACGGAAGACCCGCGGGGCAGCTCCCGCCGGCGGAACAGCCCGGCCCGGGGCGGCCAGGTGAATAGCAGGGCCGCCCCTCCGCACCCGCGGGGCCGGCTGCACCGGGCGGGGCCAGCCCGGCTCCGGACAGCACCCGGGAAAAGCTGGCAGGGAGCAGCGCGGCAGAGGGCCGGCCCGGCAGCATCCCCCGCGCCGGGACAGAGGCCGCCGCCCGCCCCCCGGCTGCCCCCGCCGCCCCGCTCACCACACGGCTCCGTAGGCTCCCGACCCCACCGGCTGCAGGTCCCGGTAGCGGTCCCGCACTTCCCAGAGGGTCTTGGTGATGTCCTGCCGGTAGAAGCCGTTCTTGGGGGAGGACATGGCGCTGCCGACCCCCGCCGGCACGCGCCGACAAAGAGCCCGGGCCGGGGGAGCGGGAGCGGCCGGCGCCGCCGAGCAGCGCCGCGCTGAGGGGCCGGGCCTGGCCCGGTGTAGTTAAATAAAAACCAGCACACACTTGGTGCTCAGAGCAAGTGGTCTTGTGCATGGCTGAAGTGACCTGGAATGGAACTGATGCAGCAGTGGCTTGAAATGATTGCAGTGCTGGAGTATGGACAAGAGCAACCTTCTCAGTAGCTGTGTAGTCAATAGGCCTGGGCCAGCAACACGTGTATGGCAACACCTGGTTTAAAATATGTTTTATGTGTTCTCTGTGTGAATATCACTAAAATTCTTGTCCTTCAGGGTTTGGCAAAGCCTTTGTTTTGTTTGACTTCACTCCTGAGCAATGTTGCTGAGGTTAGATAATTCAGGTTTGCTGTCACTACAGTTCAATTTGTGGTTTAGCTCTAAAGGGGTGATCTGGACAAGTTTCATGGTTCCCAATGCCATTTTGGTGGTTGCCACGGGCCCAGCCCTTTGGGTGCCTGACTACCAAATGTGGAAGGGCCACCCTGCCCTTGCTCCTCCTGGGATACAGGAGGAACAAAACCTTCCAGCTGCCAGCCCTGTGTTCCAGCGCTGCTCTCCGCTGACCTGCTCCAATCTCTGGTTTAGTGAGAATGGAGAGCAACCTTCTGACATTTAGCAGTTAACATGAGGCTTGTGAGAAGTGTCAGATCAATGATAGATGTTCACTTCTAGAAATCCACTGCCCCAGGAGATTATTTTTTAATTTCTGATGTCCCTTCTATGCTGTTTGCCATTCAGATGTTGGCTGTTGTGATATGTGGTACAGGTAAGGTGAAGGATAGAGCAGCTTTCTCTCATTTTGAACTAATCCATTAGTTAAATTACTTTTAATGACCATTATATATATTTCTAATACAGAGAGGATAAGTTCTGCTTGTCATCCCTCATTTACTTTTCCTTTATCCAGTTGTGACAGTGATATGTTTTTACTTCTTGCTTTTTTATCAAGGCAGAAATTAGATGATTTTGATACAGTAGGTAAAAGTACTAATTTTACATCAAGAGAAGTTGACTCTTGTGCAGAAGCTGAGAATATTACAGAGCAACTTCTAAAAAACATTTTAAATTGACAAAGTTATCCACTGCTGGTTTTCCCATGTTTTTCCTTCAGTAAGTATTTAGGCATACTTTGCTACAGATGGATGAAATAGCCGTGTAGGTCAAATATAAGACCAGCTTTCCCCACCAGGTCACACATACAGGAGATGAGCTGGTAAATTTACTGAAAAGACTAGGAAATCAGCACTGTCATAACAAGGGAAGCTTTGTCTAACAAACCATTCAAAATGTCTGTGAAGGGAATGAGTCAAGAAACTTGGGTCCATCCTCAGCTGGTAGATCTTACAGCAGTGTCACAAACTGCATGAGTCTCTGCATCCTGCTAGGCTCAGCTGGATACATGGTGATGTGTTTTCCCAAAAACAGTTTGTTGCCAGGGGACTGATAGATGCTATAGCCATATCTTATTCTGGGCAATGTGTGCTTGACAGAATGGATAAAAAAGAGTGCTATCAGATGTTTCTCCTTCTGGCATACATTTATTGTAAAGTTAATAGAAAAAAAGGATCTTCTTAAGACATCATTAACAAAAAAATAATAAATGCATTAATGATGCAAAAATTGCACTTTTCTAATCATCATTCCATAAAGGGAAGATTTAAGAGGTATCAGAATGTGGTGGGGTTTTTTTTAAGAGCCAGCTTTTGATGTGCTGGATGGTTGCCATCAGCTGCAAAGCATATGAGGTAGATGAGATGGGTGCAGTACTCTTTCTAATCCCTCTGAGCTCAATTTCCCTCCAGCCTAGAGGTGAAGCTTTGGTGCTGGAGCAGAAAGGGTGCAGTACTCTTTCTAATCCCTCTGATAACTGAGCTCAATTTCCCTCCAGCCTAGAGGTGAAGCTTTGGTGCTGGAGCAGAAGCTCTATAAGCAAGCAGTGAGAAATCTAACCATGTTTTCCTGAGGAAATCCTACATGTATGAAGTCTGGTGAGAGCGTTTGATGGCAAACTGTTCACCACAAGTTATCACTTCTAGATGACAAAATTGCACAGCCCTGTTTGTCAGGAGCTGAACTGGGGGAGAGCTGCTGGGCCCTGGGTGCAGGAGTGTGTCAGTGTGAGCAGGGAGAGGGGACTGACACTGGTCTCCAGTCCAGGCACTGATAATGTGCAGGAAAGGAGATCATACAAAGTCCTTTGAAGAATCAAACATCTTCCCACCTTTCTGACTGTTTATATGTCTGTCTTTCATATGATCATTTTATTCTGGATACAGTAATTCACATATTAATAATTTGGCTGTGTAAAACATACCTTAGATGTCAATAAACATAAAATCTTGCTGAATTGTCAAAAGCTAATTCCTAGAACATTATTATTTTTAAACAAGCTCTCTCTCTGCCCACCTTCAAAAAATACTCTGCTTGTCTACTTAGACCTGTTGCCATGGAGGAAGTAAGTTCATTCTATTTATTACAACAAGAAGTAAAGCTTAAAAATAGTAATTAAAAAATCTCAGTTTTAGTCGGAAAAAACTCTTGTGCTATTTTGTCCCCACCCTTCCCCAGTGGAGTCACTGCCAACTATTTTGCAATTTTTTTCTGATTTTGTCTCTCTGCCCAATGAGCAGGGTGTTTCAGTTCCAGTTTCTGTGACATGTAGCCCTCCTGGGGACCTTGCCACGTTGCAAGGTCACTAAGCCATCAGCAGAAAGGAATAAATAAATATACACACCTAAGTGCTTTTTAATATAAAAAATAATTCAAACTATATATTACATTTTTTAAGAGGTCAAGTGAGAACTTATTAAGTAACTATGTACTACTCCATTATCCCTGCTTGCTGGAGATTGGTGGACGAAGAGAGCCCAGTTGTAGTGAGTAGTAGACACTATATATAAATCAACTACTTTTAATGCTGTCCTAACTTTTTCTCCTCAGAATCCACCAAGAGGTCCTCTCCTACAATAGACTGAAGGAGTTTAATTTTTAAACTATCACAGATTGCTGCAGTATGAGATGCTGTAGTCTACAGAGCAAAAAACCAACTCTTCAAGAGTTTCCCAACCTCAATGCAAAAATCATATGAAAAGAGAGTTAATGAATATCACTGATAGGTAGCTTTACTCATTTGTCACTGCAGAGTTGTGCACATCTCCTGTTTAAACCACCCAAACCATCATGGCATTCTTTCCCCCATCTTAGCCATCTTTCTCAATGCTGCCTTCGTTTTCTTTGTTTCCACCTTGACCTAATGAGAGAGGTGGGCAGGACAGGAGTACTATATGTGATTTTTGCATAGAATGTAATTTAACTATGGGTTCTTGATTTGAGGAATCAGGTTTTAATATAAAATAGGCATATATTATCTGGGTGCTAATCCACAGGATATTATTCTATAAAGAACAAAGCATTGCTCAGTGGAGGCTGCCAGTTATGGCAGATTTAGTGTATAGTTGTCTCAGAGCTGCAACTGTGGTTCAGTATTTATACTGTGTTCAGTATTTCTTGTGATCAAATTGGAACCTAAAAGGACTGGCTAAAACCTCTGTGCTGTGGTACACATCTTAATATGTGACAATAATTGGAGCTGGGGGACTACGGGAGTGTAAAATGAAGCATTTGTATGTCTGCAAGATGGAAGCCTAATTGAAGAGTTTCGTTCATTATGTTGAAATTTCTGATCTAATGGATTAAGTGTCAGATTGGTTGGAAGATCAGTGTTGACACAGAAAGCTCACAATATATTCCCTTCTTGTAGTGAAAACTTAGACTCTTTTAGGTGTATCAGTTCAATATTTTATTTTACAGCAGAAAGAAGGGCAGTGGCAGCAACACTAATGTAGCTTTCTAAATCTCTTGGTACTAGTGCCTTAAAACCCCTTACCCAGACTCATAAATTAATGACACTTGGTACTCTCACTTGTGCAAGTGTGCTGATTTTCTGAGCCAGTGTTTCCATCCATTAACACTAGCAGCAGTAGCAATGTATGAGAAAAAAGCAGCTGCTTTTAACACAAATTGAAGTGTTGCTATTAATTCCTTCCTAAGGAGACTGATTGCAAGGTTGAATCCCTTTCTGCTGATAACAAAAGACATAGTTTACTGAATTTACAATGCAATTCTCTTTTCATGAGGGCTAAATCTTTACTGCTGCTCGTCTGTCAGGGATTCCTGGGCCAAGTCAGTAATTAACAGATGTGGCAAAGGATGCTTAAGTAATTTGTGCTGGCAGCTCTGTACAGTACTTTTTGGACAGATTCATCTTTGACCTGGTCCCAAGAGTGGGGAAAGTGGAGGTCTGTTTTCTTGTTATGATCCAGAAGCACATGTGACAGGAAGAAAGGAAGGAAGTAACTTTTGTATTGACTGCTTCCCACCTCTGTCAAAGTTTCTTTTGCTGCCAACATTTTGTTCTTGAAAGGGCTGTTCCCCTCCTGACCCTTAGGGTGAGCTCACTGTGTCAGATCCTGCAGCACACTGACCCTCCTTCCCTCTCGCTTTCATCTGCTACACCATATCAAAAAAACCACCAAGAGCACAACCTGGAATTGTGCAACAATGCTGTCTAAATAATGACTCTACCTATTGATAATGATGTATTTATTTTCATATATCAGTATTGATTACCTAATTTCCTATCCCCACCCCCCATAAATTTTTGAACTTATTAGTAACGCTGCTATTTCAGACTCAAGTAGCTAGTTTGTATCTTCAGGGTATGGCACATGATATCCTCTAAAACAGTGCTTTTCCTCTAAACTATCCTTAGTTTTTCTTTCCATTGGTCCATTGTAGATTAAAGGTTTTTTATTCCTGTCTGCTTTGGCTTGTTGTATCAATTTCCTGTTGCTGGGTTTCAGTGCTGATGAGGTAAAGAGCTTAAAAAATAAAGTTCCAGATTCTAAAAGTGTTGTGTATACTTAGGCATGTCAAAAGACTGAGATGCATGCAAAATATTTTTCTTTTGCAAGAACTTTTGCTGCCAGTGATGATAAAATTATTAGACTTGGGGTTGCACTAACCCTGATTATAGAGTGAGATAATAAGTACTAGAAGTGATTTCAATTCACTAGGTGGATGGATAACAAGCTCTTGTGACTGAAAGCTGAAATTAGATAAATTCAGATTAAAAGTAAATTGCTAACAATGTCGGTAATTGACCGGAGAAAGCCCTTGGACAGCTGTGTTCTCCCCAGTGGAAGCCTGAGCTGCCTCCCCCATGAGCAAAGCCCAGCCTGCTCCTCCTTCCCCTCTGTGCTTTGCAGGTGGCCAGGGATAAGAGTGCCCTCATTTAGTGTGGGCTAAAATCTATGCTGCTCTCCTGAAGCATAAATGCAATGTATAGGACACAAATGTGCTGTTGAAAGCAACAGTGCTGTCAGGAGATTAAACCCCCACTGTTTAAGCACAAACCACTACAAGTTTTGCAAATAGCATTTGGGCCATGTAATCAATGCCTTCATTAATGTCATTATAAGCAAATAATTTTTTAATAAAAGCTTTATATTTATTTACTCTTTAAAATTTACTTTTAATCCATCTGCCTCACCAAGCCTGACAAAGCCCTCACTCCTCTATACTCACCTCCATCTGCCTGTCTGAGTTGGTAGATAAATGTTTTCTTCCATCTGTGTTCAAATGATAAGCATTGTTAGTGCTAAGCCTCCCACCTTTCTGTTCCATTGGGGTTCTGGCTTTCCAATTACCCTCTCCTGCTGTTGTAAACTGATAAAGTTATCAAATTATAGTCTCATGTTGGATTGCCACAAGGGAACCGGTTACCTACTCTAGAAAAATACTTTAATTATTGGTTTTTGAGGTCTAAGTAATTACCTTCATTTTGCACATCTAGGAAAAACATGTCTGTCTCCCTGCTGTTTTTCGGGACATTAAAATGAGATGATTTACAGGTTTTGATAGTAATTCATTAAAAAGGGCTGAGCTATTGTTGCCCATTACTGTCACCTTCGATTAGTTTAAATGCAGCTGTGACCATGTTCTTCCTACATAATTTATCTCCTAGAAAAAAACCTGCAGCTCTGAATGTCAAAGAAGATATTCAGAGGAAGATTCAGAGTAGCCAGAATAAAAATTTTGGAAGCAACATGAAACTTTCTTTCTACCTCAAGTGGCAGACCGATGGCAACCAGTTTTATGCATCCTTTGAAGCATTTGACATTGGCCACCCTCAGAGCCAGGAAATCAAATTTAACAAATGAAGGGACAAACCCCATAATAAATTAATTATTGTCAGACACAAAAAGTTCTTGTGAAATCTCCTTACTTCATCTTTGCCATTCCAACTGAAATAAAGCTGCCAAATAGGTTTGTAAACTCAGTATCAGATTTCAGAGAAAATAAAGCACTGAGTTACTTTTAACTGGCAAACAGATTAAAAAAATGTTTAAGATATGACTGAGTGAATATTTTCATTATGTAGTTAGACAAATAGTTTAAAGATTTAGAACTTTTTCACCTATTTTAGTCAGCATGAAATTCAGCCATTGCAATATCATTACTTCATACAGCCTCATCCAGCTTCACAGGAAGCCAAAGTAACGATGGCTGACAGCACTTCAGCAGAGACACAAGAAATTCATTCAGGCATTTACTTTCAGATCAACATGCCCTGGGGAAAGCTGAAAACAAATGGCTGCATTTCACTGGATGAAGGTCTTGGATAACTGGTCAACATTGCCAAAACAGTCTATCAATTAGTCCACAAATCAGAAGCATATTTTCTAGATGGAATGCCTACTTCTATTTCTAAAAAAAGCAAAGTTCTTGGACTTGATTTTTTGTTTTTAAATCTTTTTATTAAGAAAAAGCCTTTATTTTTACATAGAAAAAATACAGAGGAAAGTAAATGCAGTAGAATCCATTACCTTATATAACTGCTATACAATTGAATATTAATGACAAAGTTTCAGAAAACCTAAATATTATAAAAAGCCACTTCTAAAATAAGACTCTGACAGAGCAAGAACAAGACACAAATTAAACATTAAACAGCTGTGAATCACAAGTGTGTACAAAGACACAGCCAATACAATACAAGAGGCCTTGTGCCAAAAGGATGTTCCTGTTACAGTATTATGCATGTTATGTTCCTGTATACAGTAAAATGGAGGAATCAGATAAATTTGATTCTTTAAAAAAATCTTGGTGTCTGATGTGTCCTGCAATTTTTAAATTTAATTTTCCAACTTTTCGGAGTTGGAAAACCTTTAAAATTTTGCATAAAAAGAAACTTCAATGATAATGTGTCAAATTCTTGAATCGCCTTGTTTTGTCATGTCTTCCAATGGCAAATATTCGATTACTTTCCTAAGGATTTTGTGAAGGAAAATAAGACAATGTGGAATATTTAATTCAAAGCTGTGAACTGAACTGAGCACTCCTGGACTGTCCTCTATGACAGCCTTTGCTGAAGCTTGCAGAAGTCTACAGAGCTCTGCTGCAGCACCTTCACAGCACCTTCCTGTAACCCAGGCAAATTCACCAACAGTCCAGCAATGGCATGGTGAGGAATACACCAGGAAGTAAAACTGTCTCACAAATGGGTATTGTGCAGATTAAAAAATAGATGTGGAAAATAATGAGAACAGACACTTGAATGGCAAGAGAAGAGAAAGATTTATTTTTACTGACTTTCAACTGGTGTTAAGATTGCTTGAGAGACATCCAGTACATGTGTAAGACCACCACAGATATGACTACATATGCATATTCTGTCTATCTCACTACCACGCCCTCTCTTCATAAAGGCACTAACTATAAATAGTACGAAAACAAACAGATAAAATGCCACAAAAAAAAAAAAAAGGATTGCTTGTATGGACTTCTTGTTTATGTTTGTATACATTCATGCTTTAAATGTACAATTTTAAAATTAATTTAAAAGGTCACCTTTATTTTGGCAATACAACTGATAAAATGAAACATGCAGAACACACAGCTTGACAGAACTCAGTGCATAATTTTGTCAGAATGAAGCAGTTCTTTACCACCCTTTGTGAGTTGGGAATACATTCATATTACAAGGCAAAAAACACCTCCACCCAAACCAGACATCTGGCTTCTGTTTAATGCATCTGTTTTTCCACATGTCCTCCAACATCTTTGGATAGTAAAATGTATGTCTGACCACAGGTTAAATTGTATGGTTATATTTTAACAGTCTTCATAGTGCAGCAAGGCAAAGACAGAGCTGCCTGCGTTCACTGTTCTATCTCCAGGCTGTCCATTTTCAAGTCGGGTGGTTTAAAGCTATTCACTTCTTCATAGGTAAGTTCTGTAGAGGGGGTGTAAGGAAGAGAGAAGAATTAGGTGACATTTTCTCCAAAAGAAAAATATGCCAGACAAAACAGTTCTACATATACACATGACCTGTAGTTTGTATGTTCAGCCTCTTTAGTGTCCACATCCAAAAACAGACTGAATTCGCTAGGAATCCTCCTCTCAGATTGCAAATCAGACTCACAAATACTGTTATTGTACAACATGACTGTCCCCTTCAACTAATTACTAAAACACACAGGCCCTGAAATGAAAACATCAATTATGCTGTCAGATGACCTGCCAAAATGTAATAAACGATAATCTGTAATGGAAAATGGAATCCTTAAAAGTACCTAGATAGGTTTTAAAATGTACACTTTTAACTGTGGAAAACATTCTTTAGCATCTCTCAGTCAGTTGCCTTCAATTATATATCATTTGCAATTCTGTGCTAATTCCTCGGGATCCTGGTTTAGTGGGTTTTTTTTTGGTTTTTTTTTTTTAATGTTTTACTGTAGCTGACTTAATTTTACAGTACTCTGAAAAATTTTTTCTTTTTGTCTCAGAAGCATGTAACAACTTTCATCAGGAAATTCTATACTCATCAATAGCTACAAACATGGGTTACTTGCTATGTTACCCTGCTTTGAGAATAACCCTTTATCTTTTTGTGCTACCATTCGTGTCTTGTTTTCTGCCTTGGACATTATGGAATATGTTGTCAGTTGTACCTCTTTTGTATTTTCTCAAATTAGCTGCTCTTCAAGGACCAAATCCTGTTTGCATATGGCTAACTTCAGGTTATGGCATTACTTCAGGTTCTGTTTTCCAAACAGTGATGTTTAAATCATATCAAACTCATGCCTATCAGCTTTTTTATTAAGTAACTCTGTCTGAGACAGCTGCTATGCCTGCAAGTGTACCTAGGACTCCTCTAAAAAGTATGTAAAAAATCTAGGGACTGAATCTTGCATATGCTCTGGTTGTGTTGTGCTGGACCACTGTGTGCAGTTTCAGCAAGGGATTTCTCTAAAGGAAATTCTGTGTGCAGAGCTTCAGGCATCAGAGGATTTGTTAGGTGACTTTGAGTGACTGACTTATGACTATTACACAGAATTACAGGCAGCCAGGGAGCAGCTACAGCCGACCGAACTTGGAGAAGCCAATGTCCTCACAAATCGGACACCAGGAACTGTATTAGAAATTATTCTTACTGCCTGTGTGGTTTATGTTCATGAAGCTCTTTATCCACTTCTTACTGCACCTACTCAGCAGAGATGTCCAACTGGAGCAACAACTAAGGAGAGAATGTATAGCATTCAACTCTGAATAGCATACTCTTGGCCTCTAAAATTTTGAAATATTTTCTAACTGATTAAACATGTCAGAAACATTAAGAAATCTATGAGCTTGTGTTGTGAGCCTCAGCAGTGTGCAATGGAGGCCAAAAAAACTCCGAAGTGCATAACGTATAAGACAAAGTGTCTGAAATCTCATTTTACTTTGGTGCTCAGTCCCTTGAGATCAGGCACCACTGATTTTTAACTTGAACAGAAAAAGAGCAGAAACACGCCAACGACATCTTGAGAAATTGGGTCAATATTTCATCGACACTACAAACATTTTATGTCATCTCACTTAAATGTGGCACATGCTGTACTTGAAAATAAAAAGTTTATTCCTCAAGATAAAAATACAGCCAGAGGGAAGAAGAAAAAGCAGCAAACCTGCTGTGCGAGTTTGGAGATTTTTTTTCTCAGGCCTTTTTTTTAAACCTGAATAAAGACAGAATTAGACCTGTAGATCCGTCAAAGTCAATGATGTAAAAAATGATACATAATAAATGCAATGAGAAGTAATATGATACAGCCTTTCCAAGAGATTTCACCTTCATGTCCTCATTTCAGTTTAGAAAGTGTTAAGCTGTTAAGGTTGTTGCTGAAATAATTTCAGTAGAGTTTCATCACAAACAGAAATCTGCTCCATGACTCAGAAATTGTTAAACTTTCCTGTTAAAGACTCAGGCAACTGCAAAAGTGGCAGAAAAAAATATAATCCACTCCTAAGTACAGCAGCAAATAAACGCAGCTCTCAACAAACAAGATGTATGGGTGCTGCTGTAGACTGCCACATTTTGCAAATAAGAGACTGTGTAAGGAGTAGCGATGCCAGTCAATCCTCCTTGTTTGTACAGACACAGTCAGCTTCTACAAAAGCCTTTCCAGGGCTCTAGGAGGTTGATTTACTGTAGAGAAAGCCATGACCCCACTATTATCTTTCTTTAAGATATATTTGCTGTAGACAGTCTGCTTTTTCCCCTGTAATGCCCAGGATAATACATGGCACAAATGGATGGGCATGAGTAAGACATGAGAGTATTCTTCATCATAAACCTAACCACCATGATAATACATTTTTATCGAATCTTTCCCAACTAAGTTACAGAATATACAAATAGAAACAAAAAACCATTTATTTTATGGAAGACATATTTAATCTTAAGCCAAGGAAAGACCTTTGTTGATAAACAGAAACAATTACTTTTCTACAACATTATTCTCAATTAAAAATCTCTAGTAAGGAATTTTTAGAATAATATGTCCTCATTAGATAGTGGTGAAATTGGACTGTACTTTTAAGAAACAATTACTTTTCTACAACATTATTAAAATCTCTAGTAAGGAATTTTTAGAATAATATGTCCTCATTAGACAGTGGTGAAACTGGACTGTACTTTTCAGTGTACTTGCAATCCAATGTTGAGCCACCTTACTTCTGTGATATTGCAGTGCAATATGATTGCCTTGCAAGCACGGAAGGTTGTTGCAGTATTTATCACAGAAGGTTTTGGGGTGTCACTCCCAAGTAAAATCATCAACTACCATCTCAAACAGGACCAATAGCATGGTGTAGCTATTAATCCAAACCCCTTTGCTATCTAAAGAAGTATTAACAAAATACACATCTATGTGGATACTATTACTTTCTGGTTCTGGTCAGAACTAGACCAGAATCCCAGGTAGTGTTACCTGCCCCAGGACAGTTACTTCAGCTGGGGGTCTGACCTAGAAAACTAAAAGCAAAACAGAATGTGTAATTACCTGGTAGCTAGCATCAGCTTTTAGTTAAGCTTTCACTGCTACAGGGAATCTAATGAGATGACGGGGGTGGGGGGAGTGGGCAAAATCCAGAGGAGAAATATAATCTTTTCCACCTGTCCACTCCCACAAGCACACATATGAACTTGTTTGGCTGAGGCTTAAAAGTTCAAATTCCTCTGGCTAGAAATGAAGGCAAACTGTTATTTAAGTAAGGCTTTCTTCTGCTACATGTCTTAACCAGTGCATGCAGTTCTGATACCTTTCCATTCATCTATGGTTCTCTCCTTGTTCTCTATGGACTCGTCGTAGAGCTCAGCCTCAGGCTCATCATCGGGATCGTGGTACTGCACAAAGTAGGGATGCGCCAGTGCTTCCGAGGCCGTGATCCTTTTATCGCTGTCTAAAATAAGCATCTTCTCAAGAAGATCTACAGCTAAGGCAAAACCAGAAATGCAGTTCAAAGCCAGAAGAGACCATGAGGAAATAAAAAAGGCAACTGTTTACACACCATCTATTCTCACTCATCTTAAACACAACTAATATTACTGGCAAAATTTAGGCAACGTAACAAGTAAGTTTTGAAGGTTTTGTACTGTGAGTACAAAAGAGAGCTGAAGGAAGCTTTTGGTTTGCTTGTGGCATGCTCAAAGGTTCAGTATAGTAAACTGGAGATCTGATTCACTTCTTTGGATATCCAAGGAGTTAATTCTGAAAAGCTCTGTGTGTGCTTATATGGTAATACCCTGTGCTGTTCATCATGTGCTTAAGTTTGCACTGATCAGGACCATATCCAAGGACTTAATTCTGAAAAGCTCTGTGTGTGCTTAATACCCTGTGCTGTTCATCATGTGCTTAAGTTTGCACTGATCAGGACCAAGCTAAGTAACTTGTGAATAATGAAGTGTGAGATTACACCTCTAATAAGCTGCACCAATGAAACAATCAGATGAAAATTCCAAAGCAATTTCACAGGACCCAGCATAAACAAAATATGTTTGAAGTTGACATTTGAGGTTTAGTAGAAAGAAGAGAGAGTTGTATGGCTGTAAGGAGAGGTTTTTATGGAAATTTTATCATAAATATTTCAAATACTATTTTTTTTACTGCTTTCATATAAGCATTGGCATTCATTTGCCTTTATGCTATTAATAAGTAGCATGCTCTCATGCACTTCAGGCAAATAAGTAAAAATAATACAAAAAATAGCATTTTTTAATATGGAAGTGTTCCAAACTACTTGTTTTTGTAAAAATAAAATTTGTATTAGTACACAAAATGAATTCAAACCATTTTTACTCACAGTACTTCCCTATGATGTGCATGTGATGGAACTGACCTGGTACTTCAGTGAGATGTCTCTGATGACTCAAGTATCTTCTTTTTATGTCACAAGAAAAAGTTTACAGAAACATCTCTTTTTCACAGGCAGAGCCAATTGATTAGACAGAAAAACAATGACACAGGATCAGATCAAAGATCTGCCTTAGCCCAGTATCCTTTGTCCAGCAATGGCTCATATGTTCCTAGGAAATAATACTCCAAAGGGTCATTCAAACAGCTATACTTCCTGATATATTCTTCTGCTTGCCAGCAATTTACAGCTCATGGCCTTCCTGAGCCAGAAATGATGCCTCTAATCTAGACCCCATGACATTTTAATGTATTTCTGCTATCTACAGCTGGCTTTTGCTTTTCATCCATGGACCATTTCCCTTTAGGAGGTTCCTGTAATCTCTGTCAGAAACAAAGAGACACAGGCTTCACGACAGGAAAACAGTCTCAGGATGAAAGGTTAAGCAATGCTTTTCTCACTGGTCTGATTATTATTATATGGGATTATACAGCAAGGAACACAAGGAATGCTTGAGTTCGTATGTTAGTGAAAGATTTTATCTGTGCCTGTCTGATTTTCTTACCTAATGGATTGGCACCACGAAACACTGCTTTCAAATCCTGCTGAGGCATATGTGGAAGAGATTCGATGTATTTTCTTGCCTAGAAATAATTTAATATACTTGTGATAAGGGTTAAATTTTGCTCAACAGTAACCACATCAAGTCTAAAAAACCAGGCATTATATTTTTTATGTTTCTTATATGGGAAATCCTCTTTACAAATAACCACAATGGATGACCTTGTTTCAAACACTCATGCCTGTATACTGGAGAGTTTTAAGCAGGTACATTTTGGTTTAAGGCTTGAGTGTTAGCACTTTAGTTTTCACCTGTGCCTACTGGTTCATTGCAGTATATCCCCAGGGAACACATGCATGTAATGCTCAATCAGAAACTGCAGCCTAAATCATCTTTCAGTTACCCCCAGCAAAATTATATAATTCAAACTGCAGCCTTCCCTCCTTTCTCTTCTCTGGTGAAACGTAGCTTCACTAACCAAAGAACAAATTCTGATACTCCATGTGAACAAATTTTCAGATGTTTAACAGAATTTAAGAGCATGCCTTTTTACGGTGGCTGTGAAAGGTTAATCCAAACTCAGCTAGTAAAAGCCTGCCTAGATATAGGATCCACAAATGTCAGCCTGACAGTACATGAGCTATAAATTTTTAGGCTGAGGTAGGCAGGTTGGCAAGAGAAGAGGTTGCATACTTGGATCAGACAGAACAGGGAATTCTGAAATGCAATTGTCAAAAAATAAGCAGGTGGTTATTCCCTAAATCCATAAAAAACCTCAGCTGGTCTTTGGACAAACCCTAACCCTTTTGCAAGATGTTTGTGTTACACTGATGTCTCTCAGGATTTAGCAGTCCCATTAGAAGGACACTATCTGCAGAAGGCTAACTAAGCATCCTTGACCCATGGAAAACAGCAACTAATCAACAACTAATCCTAACATGACTGAACAAGATGCAGTGGAAATTACCTGCAACCTTGCCCAGAAATCCTTTGAAAACAAAACAGACTAGTCCTGTCCCCTCTGCTTATCTACTCACAGAAGCCTGACCAAGAGAATCCCAATGTTTAAATTATTCTGAATTGCAATTACCATTTAAATTCATATTAACATGAAACACCGACAAACACCTCAGTAACTTGTGCTGAAGCATCCAAGGAGGTTGATCTTTTAGTTTCCAGTTCCTTAATCCTCTACTTATAACTGAAAATAAACTTGGCATTTCAGCAAATCTCTGACATTGCTGTTACAGGGATGTTAAAAAATTGTCCATGTCTGCAAGCTGCATTAAGAAATACCTAAACACTAAGGCCAAACTACATGGTAAAGAAGAACTAGAATGAAGAAACTCCCTTGCAGCTGGCAATTACCTCCAAGGTATGCACCTCATTTGACATTGCTCCTCTAATCAGGCAGCAGCAGCCCAGAGGTGACCTAGCAGCACTCCTGTTCATTAACCTGGTTTTTGTGTTCTGCCTGTGCTCTAAAGGTGTAATTAGCCCAAACAAAATAGCTTCAGGATTCCTGTACCTCACTGGGCTATGATCTGAAACACAACAAATTAAAAGAACAAAGCACATACTATTTCCAGTAAGTATTTCAGGTGTTACTCTCACGATCAAAAAGCTCACTAGTTGTGGGAAAATAACATATTTGTATACACTACCGAGAATGTGTTACATCAAAACCTGTAGGTTCTTAACAGCACATAAAGGCTACCAAAGGACCTGTGAGACTATTCAAGGACCTATGCTTAGGACAGCACAGTCTGAGATTTGTAGCTGATGAAGTTTCTGGCAAAAGGATGGATGCTGAGTTAGCCTCCTGCCCCAGCCATTCCTAGGCGCTGGGAACCCAAAACTCTGGGACTGTGTATTGGCCTGTGATGATGAGGTTTCATTATGTCTGGACCATCCAGAAATACAGGGCAGCTCTGGCTCTCCTACTGCTCCTGATTACTTAACCCACTAGTGTATTTATTAGCAAGGTCAAAGGAAACCCATCAATATATACACAAGCTGAGAAACAGCCATTGGTATTAGTCTGAGATGTGTACAGAGGAGGTTTAAGAAAACAGCTGCGGCTTAGGAGGTATCTGTGTGCTGGTGTTTATCTGAACTCTTACCCTGTGCCCATCACCTGCCTTTATCACACAATACTACATCTCATTCCTCAGCTGGCTATCCACAGTTACTGCTTACAATGAATCTTTTAAGTGTCACTTTATCAGAGAAATTAAGTGGAAATTGGTCATTTACTAGATTACTATTTGAAGAAGTCACATGGAAAGTTAAAAAGCCCACTCTTAACGACGAATATTATCAAGAAATTGGACCTCACGCAAGCATTTAGAAAGATGAATAAATGTGATTTTCAAATTAGGGACCTAAATAGAGCACTCATGCAGAGCACATTTTTTATTTGGATACATCTCTGTTTAAAAACCATACAACACTGGAAAGCATACAAATTACATTATTATATTATTACACTATTATATTATAGCTACAGATTTAATAGTAACAATATAATGCTGAGCACCAGATTTAATTTTTTTAATTATAAGAATAATTTAATTATAAGCACTTTAAAAGATCATCAGGACTAATTTCTTAACAATTTGCAAAAACTGAGTACATGAGAACAAGTATCCAAATTCATCCCAGGTCACAGTCAAGGCATCTGGATGCCTCCAAAAGCACATTTTTTGAATGGTGGCATTCTAGCAGCAGAAACTAGAGAGAACTTTAAGGTATTTGCTCATTTCAAAATCAGTGTTTGTGTAACACAGGCAGTGACATACAATGCCAGTTAGAGAAGGGATGACAGAGAGTCAGTTAACTGAATGAAGCTGTGAACTCACATGTTCTGATGATATCTTCTTCAGAAGTTCTGAACTGGGTGTGCCCACAACTTCCATTATTCTCTTCAGTTGATCGATATCTGCATAATTTCAGGGAAATGAACAGCACACAGTCTTTCTGGGTTTAGACGATTAATGAGCTTGCATGCATGCAACTAGGATGCTTAAAACCATTCAGCAAGACAATTCCACCATAGCTCATGGAAGGATATCAATTCATACCTGCTTAAGCCTAGTCCTGGAGTACCAAATTCTCTGCTGTACTATATTAACTTGTCAGGTATGTCAGCTGCATGAAAAATACTGCTCTTCTGTCCTAGTTCCCAATTTAATACATTCTTCAGCTTAATATTAATAGCATATTTATGTTTCAGTGATCTGAGAGATTTCTGAAGATCAATTTAATATGATAGGCTATTTTAGGCTCATAGGCATAAATTACTCATCTGAAGACTGGCAAGTGAAAAGTTATCATTTGGTACATTTAAAAATTTGTTTTATATATGTCTCAAGATTAAGACCTTTGAAAATGTTAATTTTTCATTGTCACCTAGGACCTGTAAGTATATTACATTTTTTATAAAGACTCAAGATTATTTTACAGCTTTATTTAAATTGATATAATGATAGAGTTGCAGACAATATTTTATAACAACAAGAAAATCTTATTTCTTGTGAACTATTTATACTGATTTGTTCAAATACCACATGTCATGTAATCAAACACACAGTCTCAGCACACGTCATCTCCTGATGATGATACACCTGGAGAATGCCTGTGGTTACAATAGAGCCTAATGATGCTGAGCACAACAGAAAGGTGAGTGGGGAGACTTGGTCTCAGCTCTCTTAAGATTATTCCAGACAATTCTAATGTCATAATGTTTTGCACCCAGCAACAGCTAAGTATTAGCAGAAGTGTTTGTTTTTGGAGGGGTTTCAGAGTAGCAAGAAATGTCAACATTCAGAAGAATATACTCTTGTTTCTCATAATAAAACCTTGATGCAGTTGTTTCCTCACTCCTTATTATGTGTTTTTCTTCAGTTTTCTTTTATTATTTTACTGTTCTCCTCAGAAGCATCTCTTTTTTGCTCCTGCCAGCACAGGAAATGCCAATGGAAATCCCTGATGCTCCATCAGGGACCACAGCACAGTGCTGTAGAAAAGAAAGGGCTTTGCTGTTCCTGTGGCATTTCTGGAACTACTGGCTTCTTTTAATATAACAGGACACAATAGAGCTATTAATTCACTTATTATTTAAAAGTTAACTCATCTGCATTTTCCGGAACTTTTGGCCTAAAAGCAGTTCTATTTTGTTAAATCATATTAGCTGATGAAAAAATGATGTCTCAACTGAGCTTCAGTTTTAGCGTATGTTATTTCAATAAGATCCACACATGGAAGAAATCTACCCTGTTGTAACTAGGTTATTATTTAAATACAGATACACAAAAGAATAAATGTAACTTTCTGTTGTTTAAGAACATCTGTTACTGGTTTTTATCCTACCAGTGGGTCTCATATTCAGTTACACTGAACTGAATACTGAATATACACTGAACTGAAAGATTAGCAAATTGTTTATTCTTTTACAAGTTTGTTACCTCAAAACCATGTCCATAGAAACACTCAAGTCCTTAGGAAAAAACAAAAGAAAGAATAAGAGAGTGTTTTATTAGTCCAGTTTTAAGTTTTATGTTAAGGATACAATCATTTCCTGGAAATAGAGCCTTTCCCTTCAATAGCTCTGCCATGATACATCCAACCGACCATATGTCAACTGCCAAAAAACAGAGACAGAAATGTGCACAATGAATCAAAGACATGCTTAAACACAGCTGCTTCTTGGTTTAAAACTATCACTACATCCAGCTGTAGCAAAATACAAGCCTTCACAGTTTACCTGTTTGATTGTAGTGCATCCAGTTTAACATAATTTCTGGAGCTCTGTACCATCTTGTTGCAACATATCCAGTCATTTCATCATCAGTTTGACGAGCTAAACCAAAGTCTAAAATCTACAGAATAAAAATAAAATAATAATTTTTAAAAACCCCTTTCACTTTTGTTATAGGTCCTGATTTTCCCATTACTCATTACTGAGTTTTCTGTAGTCCCTCACTATCAGTGAAGTAAAACAGCAGCACTCTGCAGACGAGCTCCTCTGCTCTCCCTGCTGTACCCATGCAGCCTCTGGTGCTGCATAAAGATATTTCCACTGTAATGAACCTGGTGCTTTGTTCTCCAAGGCAGACTTTATATTTTGCCTTGGGTTCAATTTTCCATTGGCATTAATTAACTAAAAATAAACACTGTTGCTATAAAAAATGAAATATTATTATCAGCTGGGAGTATTTGTGTACAATGCTAACAGCAAGTGCCAATGGTCATTTAAAGACCAAATAAGCTGATCACAAATGTGCAGAATTTCTGTTGTCTGATTTTCTTATGCATAAGCATCTACTCAAATCACACATTATCCTGATGCCACTAGGTGAGAAATGTATGTCCTGTGTAACAATGTAAATTTAAATCGCACCCCCTTTGTTTTCAGTAGAACTTGCCCACCAAAACAAAGAAAGGAGCTCTGTTTATGTGCACAGAGGCTTGATCACAAAGTGTTCCCCTTCAGATGCCTTCCCTTGCTAAATTTACATTGATGGGAAGTTATTTCAACTGAACTTTCCCAGCTGATTTCCTTGCTTTCTGTTCTATTCTCTGGTTAGTCTATGTCCCACTGATTATGGACCTCTAAGCTAGCTCTAAGAGACACAGCCTTGAAAGGGTACCATCTGAGCTTCAGTGTGCTGTCAGTCATCTGAGCTAGCCAGCATCTCTTCACATAGCAGTCTAAGATCACAGAGTATCTCCTATGATGAGATCCAGGATTATTTATTAAGCTGATGGCTAATCCTTTTCACAGGGAATAAGAAAATTTCAAGAGTATAATTCAAAATTCCTCAGTTATAATGCAATTAAAAGATTTAAAAAAGCCTAAAGAAAAATATTAAGATATAAATAATTAACATCTTTACTTCCAGTATAGTTTAAAAGCATAATTTATTTCTTAAGTAAGTGAAGAAAAATGCATGAGGCAAACAAGCACAAATAATGCGTGAAACTCAAACACTAATGTCCTTATTTTTATAAGGATTTTGGCAATATTTTTCTTTAACAGCTGATCCCTTCCACCAAATGTGTGCACACACACAGACACACACACTTTCCTTCTTTTTGCTTCTATTTCCTTTTTGTTAGTACTTGGAAATATCCACTAGTTTGTCCTATTAAAAATAATTTGAGGAAGTAAAGCTATAAATATAAACAAAGCAGAGAGCACTGTAACAAATGCTAGACAGGGAGCTGCTGACAGATTTCATAATAATAGAAAAAACCAGTAAAAGTCTCCTTTACTTTCAGTACAAAAATACAGTACACATTTTGGAGTACATGATCAAACACAGATGACCCGCAAAATTTCACACATGCTGAACATACATGCACGAAGACATTAAAGAGATAATAATGAAACTTGCTGAGCATCTGCAAGTGTCACTAAATCAAAGAGGAACTACACTTTTTCACCACAGATCCGGATGAGTGCAAGAACCTAACTGCACTGCTCTTACTCATTATTGTGGCTTTTTGCTGATCTTGTGGTATTTGGAGTCTTTTCTTAAATCCCTTGCAGCTGGGATAAAGTGATTACATCAGAGTCTTAGAAACAGGAATAAAGATGTTTCTGGCTGTCATGGAGAAATGTTTAACTACTCAAGCTTAAAGGCTTAGAAAGCTACAAGACATCTTTTCCTTCTCCAGAGTCTCATGCTTACTATGTAGTATCATATCACAAAGACACACCAAGAGTTGTATTTATATAGAGGTGTACATCAAAATAGCATTTGGGAAGCAAGGATTATAGGGTTCTTTTTGGTGGGTTGGGTTTTTTTGTTTGTCTTACTACCTGGTAATACTGGCATTTTTGTTGCCACCATTATTTAATTTAGCTTGTATGTTCTACAGATACAAAAATGAAAGTTGTTACAAGGCTTCATCTTTAATGGCAGATGCAGACACATATCACAGGTCAGACTCTCAAGATATACTCAGTTAAGTATTGACTCAGGAGCCAAACTATTATCTATGTACCATCTGTGGGGTACACAGGGATTTTGCAAAGATATTTGTATTCATATTAAATTAACATTTGGGAGAAAACACATGTTCACAGAAATGGGCAAGTAGCAAACAGTTGAAATTAACGGAATGAGCCATAAAAATGGTAACTATTTCCTTATAAAACTGTCATATTGAGAGATTTTACAACACTCTTTGTTACAAGAGCATGATACCCACCCTCAATTCACAGTCTTCATTAACAGCTAGGTTACTGGGCTTCAGGTCCTGCAGCAGAACACAGAATTAGTCAAGTACTACTTCAGCCTTTTAAAATATATTCCAACTGTGTCTTAGTAACACATCTGATGCACAGAGGGACACATTCCATTCATTTTCATTACCTCAAAGACTGAACTCACCCGATGGATGATTCCAGCTGAGTGAATATACTGTGAAACAAAACAAAACAAAACGGGTAAGATTTGAAGTTAGAGGTGAAGGGAGGTCAAAGCCACTTGTCTTATTTTTTTGCTTTTGAGACTGACTGTTTTATATACAGAAAACACTTACATCATACCATGTTTACTGATCAGAGGTATGTCAAACTTCAAAACCTCCCTGTTTTGTCTAATCCAGAATTGGATATTTCAAGAAAGGTACCCATGAAGACTAGATTCTACCATGAAAGGCAGCACTCACAGTGATTTGTCTGTATAAAGTCTCTTATCAATTTGGCATTTGTTCCAGCCCTCCCTGGATGTTGATCAGCTAGTGGCTAGTGAAATCAGTGGCCTAGGGAGCAGCATGGTTGACTCCTACATGATATAAGTCACCTTCCCATACTGTAAACACTGATGTGGGTGAAAGCAGCCACACCTGCACTCTGGGACAGGTCAGTGACCAAGATACCCACCTAAGCCACAGCATTATTTCAGGTCCACTTGCAAAGTGGTATTTCAGTGGTTATTTTGTGTGTCTGCTATTTTACAGAAAACATTTAAAATAAAAAAAATTAGAACAGTTTATTCTGTCATTGCCTATTGTTCTCTAGTTAGGATTAACAGCAGGTTTACCTATGATCTTATCAACCAGCATGAGCAGGGCCTTGAAAACCTTATATTCTCTAGAGGTGAAATCACTTTTTTAGGAGAAGGGATTATACACAAAACCTCTATAGCAACTGGGAAAACCCAAAGAGAACACAAGGTCATTCCTCATGTTCCAGACTAAGAACTGTTTATCAGAAGGCAGGGCCACCTCTCAATGTCCCTCACAGCAGCTGCAAGCAGCTGAATGAAGAGGAAGCCAAAACACTGCTATCAACAGAAGGAACCATGTCCCTGCTCTGCTGAGACAACCACAGCAGCCCCTCCTGGTGCCACCAAGCAGTCATACACAGGATCAAATGTTCTTTTGCTAATGAGCCATGAGAATTTCATAAGAATTTCAATTCCAGAAAAGAGGAGCCACCAGCAACCTCTGCCCTTTGAAACAGAGCCAGAAGTGCACCTGAGTGCATTTCTGAAATTAATATTCACTTAGAGCACAATTCTTACTATTATTTAGCTTTGACACAACATAGACTTCTATTCAAAACCACAAGCAGGATAATTAATGCCAGAATCCATCTTCCTAACTAAGCTATTAACTCACATAAATGAGACAAAGCAATTAAGGGCTCAGTTGTGCAATTTTTATTCACTAAAATCTGTACTTAAAGTGATGGAACCTGCATGCATGAATAAGAATTACTGTCTCAGGCACAAGGTGACTTGCTGACAATCATGTAATAAGTATATTTCAGAGCCAGTATTTACCATGGCTTGCTTTCAAACACATATTATTTTCCATGTCTAAAATATCAATTACTGTTAAGTTAGCAAGTAAAGCTGCTGACCTCTCTCTTCTGTTTGCTTTTATCTTGGGAAAATCCATACTGGTCTGAGAAAAAGCTTAGCACCTAGTAACAGGAAGCATTACCTACATCTTCTGTTTTAGACATTTACATGTTAAACATCAGCAAAATAATACATATTGTGATTCTTTTGGAAGAAAATTTTGCTGTAGATTCATTGTCAATTGCCTGTGCTACTAAAGTGTATACATTTTAACTGATTTGATTAAAGGAAATAATGAGTTTACAGGCAGACTAAATCCAAAGTGATTGTGTGCAGCATCATACATTGCTGGAATAAATTTCTACTCCCCGATATTTCCCAAAGGACCCAACTAACTTGGTTATCTCTTTACCCATGTGACACTCTCTATAAAAATCAGGATTGTGGTTTTTCAAAGTGGCTCATATCTTTCAAAGCACAAATGTGAGTTACTTTCCATATTGTTCTTTATCCATTTCATATTCTTCAGAATTTTTGAGACACTATATGGCATGTTATTGTCCTGCAATAGGAACTGAAACAGACACTGATCTAAAGTTAACTTTCACATGTATTGTGCATGTAAACATTGGTAGGCTTGGGGGTTTATTTCTGGTTAGAAAAATTATCTGATAATTTCTGAAATGATTGCTACTATTTGTGCACTTTTAAGACATTAGAAAAAAAGTGTTTAAGTATGCTCATTGCAACCAAGCAGTCCTTACAATATTTAGATTGCTGACTCATTACTACAACATTTGGATTCTGGGACTCAGACAGTACCTTGAGACCTCGAAGTAACTGATAGATGAGAAACTGTATATGATCATCTGTTAACTTCTGGCACTTCACAATGTTATTCAGGTCAGCACCCATTAAATTTGTCACGAGATATCTGTGAAAATACACAAGTGGGGAAAAAAAACAACACAGAATGGCAGAACATAAATTCTAGAAGAATATCCATACAGGCTTCCTTTTCCACTGTCTATCAACACATTTTATACCCTTTAAATCAGCTGTGAGTTCTAATATTGCAATCACTACTATGAGACTTGATGTAATTAAAAAAAAATCCTTGCAGTATATTAGAAGCTTTTATCTCTGTTTTCCTTTAAATCAGCTGTGGGTTCTAATATTGCAATCACCACTATGAGACTTGATATAATTAAAAAAAAAATCCTTGCAGTATATTAGAAGCTTTTATCTCTGTTTTCTCCATGACACACTACAGCAGTGATAGATGCAACATATTTTTGATGAAGAGGAAGCCTCAACCAACATCAAAATAGCAGCCTGAGCCTCCAAAACTACAGAACCTGCAAGGCCCTGGAATATCTGACAAAGGAGGGTAGTATTAGAGTGGCAGAGTGTTTTCTGTAACTTCCCTCTCTGTTCCCACTGGAAGTTTTATTTTTTGACAAATTTTGCAGAAACATTGATTCTTTTCCAAATACAGTGCTGGAAAAAAAGCATGCATCCGTCATAACCAATTCCCATTTTGTAATTTTGCCCCAGAGTCAAAGGGGTTTGGTCACTAATTTCCACAGAGACAAAACATGTTAATTACTATTTCTTCTGCTAAATTGTTTACTTAAGTGCTTATACAATTATGTAAACCAAAAGGAAATCAGCATAAACCGTATGTTTGAGTCACATCAAAATATACCTAGTTTTAGGTTAGCCAGGAGTCTAGCCTAAATTTACCTTGTCTCAGTTAACTAACAGAACACTTTCCTGCATTCCTGAACTCTGCCATCTGTGTATGAACAAATAATCTACAGTTTGCAAACACACAATTGAACTGAAAAAGTTTTAAGTTTATTGGCATTTATGTAGCATGAAATCTTTTAGAAATGTATGTTCTTCCTTTTCAAAAGCAGAATGGTATTTACTTACTTAGTAACTAGTCAGAATGATTTAAAAAATTTTACTTACACTTCGTTAAAGTTTTCTATTGATGTTGCAGGTGTAAAAACATCAAGCAGTCCTATAACCTGTCAGGTGAAAGAAGGGAAAGGAAGTGACATTTTATGTTTACAAACCTGTAAAGCAACATGTGATTTGTATTGACAGTGCTCAACATTTTCGGGATGAAACTTACAAAAATATAACATATGGTCATACTGAAAACTGCCATAGTAGGTGATCTATAAAGGCATCAACTCATCCATCTTAATTTTAATCTTAATTACAAAGAGTAAAAAAAAATAAAGGCAGAAAAGCTGACACATGCCTTATACAATTGTATACTTTAGAGTATGCACACCTTCATGAGTTTTTGTGGTCTGTTTTTGTTATTTTTTTATATTTCTCTTTATATTTTTCAATCAACCATATTTTATTCAGGCTCCAAGTCATCGAGCTACCTTTAAGCAAGTGTATGCTCCACTGAAATCAACTGTTTACCACATAAACTTAGACCAAGACTTAGTTATGTGAGATCTGAAGGTCTACTGTCTTTCATTCAGCTATTACACTGTTGTCAATTGCAACAAGACTAATCTGCCCTTAATTACTCAACAGAATCCATATTCAGCAAAAGCAGCTTTGAGGTGTGGGGTCTTTTTTTTTCCTGGGCTGATGTTTCAAGATGTCTCAACATTAGTGAATAGAATACTTTTATTACCTTTTTAGAGAAGAGTACAATGACTTATTTTGAGTTTCTTTAACCTCCCCTTCAAGATTTAATTAGGTATTTTTAAAATAAAAATTAGGCATGCTACTGAAAGCTTCTGAAGTCCAGTGACTTCACAACACCAAAGTGGCTATGTCCAGGTATCTTGGGTAGCTAGACAGTTGCATACACTTTCTTGAAAAAGATTGTACCTAAGTGAAATTAAGCCTATATTGTAAACTTTGTAATGGAAATCCAAAGGGAAGAACTCACTCCACTTACATTCTCATGCTTCATGTGCTTCAGCAGCCGAAGCTCCCTGTAGGTCCTCCGGGCATGGATAAGTGATTGAAAAGGTCTTGAAAGCTTTTTCACTGCCACCTTCTGTCTTGTTTTGGTATCATAAGCTGAGCTGAAAGGGGGAAAGAAAAAGTCCAGGATGATGGCATGTTCTACAGCAAAGCTCTCCACCAGTTCACTGAAGGAGCTTGTAGTCTCCTGAGGGCTCTTACCCCTTCCTTTGCCTTCTTTCACCTCCTACTCAGGGACTGCAACCGGGGCGCTAATCAGCAGTAACTCCCGAGTATTCCAACAGAGGTCCTGTGTTTTCCAGCTAGAAATTACTAATGCTGTTCAGGACTCATCCCCAGGCAGCCCTTTCCCCAAATGGCAGGAAAAGTAACCAGACAATTAGCTCCATTCATGCAGCTCCAGCCTCCAGCTCCAAGGCAGGGCTCGTAGGGAATATGGGGATTCAAACTGAAGTTTGTTTTTACTGAGCAAATTGGAACCTTTACTAATTAGAGGAACGCTGCCTTTGTATCTATGAATATTAATTATTATGTAACCACTAGCTTGATAGACAATGTCCCCAAACTGGTATCCAGTTAGGATGCTGACATAACCATGCCCATGCCTTTCCCAAAAAGTGAGGAATGGGCACGTCTTATAGTCCAGCCCACATATCCACAGCAGGTGCTTAACATCCCACAGATGAAGGTGCCCTGCTGAAGAGGACTCTAAATATATAGTCAATATTTGCAAGAGAGGGAGACCCATTCTTTTTTTTTTTGGGCATTAGAAACACATGACAAGCACAAGCCACAAATAAATGATGCCTGATATGTAACACAGAGATCAAAATGATCCCTGTATGTATTACTTCATGACACTACATAGTACAATTATAAAAAGACTCTGTTTGTAACCTCCTCTTAATAAGAAAAAAATTTATTTCAGTTGTTACTCTTACTTACTAAGTAATTGTGTTCAATTAAAATATCTAGAAATTCTCAGTTTAAAGAGTGGGTAACACTATGTGTACTTGCTCGAGAGCGCTAACAAATCAAGAATCTTCCCACACATTTGTCTTATTACAGAACTTTTTTGGAATTACAAACACAAAAATTAAACAACATGAAAAATGCATGGAGTAGAATGTCAACAGTCAGCAGTCACATAAAATGCTATTAACTTCTTCTGCACAGTGTTTTAAACACCCACAAATCACTGTAGAACACACCTGCTAGAAAACACTGATGGTGCCTGGAGTAGCTTCCAAACTAATACACAGAGCCTACAATCAGCTGCAAGTAGATGGACTCTGACACATATTTGGTACTATGCTAAAGTCACAAAGAGCCAAATGAAGAGCAAAGCCTCTATCTGCAGGATAAGCTGGTGTTTCTAATCAGAAGAAACAAAAGGATACAATCAACATGCAGGAAGAACAATGGCATCCAAAAGGTGATTATCCTAAAATTAACCCAACCTCCATGAGGCCAATCCAGAATTTCATAAAGACAGAATAGAAGCAAGTAGATTTAATTAACAAGTTTCCTGCAGGCTCTATGGAAGGAGGGAGTCACTCATGAGATAAATGACATAGATAAGCAGATTACTTAGCTAGTTTTTCCGCAAGCATCACAGAAGCTGATCTTCTGGCAAGTTTTAAAGGTGTAGAGTGCTGTGGTTTTGCTGAGCACCTCAGAAAGGGCATTTCCTGAGCAGAAGAAAGAATGCATAGAAAGAAGAAGACTGGTATCACTCTGATGAGTGGATGGAAGGGATACAACAGAGATACTCATTCAAATAGTAGGGCAGGGACAGAGTTATTCAGGATATGTTGCTTAATTACATGGAGCAGCTCAAGGAATGAACAGTGTGAGAAGAACTGACAACAGAAATATCTTAAATTCCACATGGCAAGCGACAAGGACAACATGAAGGTTGCACAAATAAATCTAAAGAAATAAAAAGGAAACCAGTGCTTAGCTTCTAACATAGCAAAGATTAGATGCAATTGCAATTGTGTTTAGCCATGGGCAACAAAGTTACTTGAGAACATTGCCAAGTCTCACAAATGCACACTGACTAGAGTCTTTCCAATTTTGGGGGGAAAGGAAATGTTTATCCAGGTAAATAAATAACATTGCTCGCCAGTGCTTAGCTTCTAATATAGCAAAGATTAGATGCAATTGCCCTGTGTTTAGCCATGGGCAACAAAGTCACTTCAGAACACTGCCAAGTCTCACAAATGCACACTGACTAGAGTCTTTCCAATTTTGGGGGGAAAGGAAATGTTTATCCAGGTAAATAAATAACATTGCTGAAAACAGCAGTTTGCTTAACATCTCAGTTTTTCTGGTAATTCACAAGGCTTCCCACTCATGCCTGCACCAGTCTGAAATACTGTACACATTATACAGGAAGGCTAGGAAGAATTAGATTTTAAGCCCGTTAATCATGACAAACATCACTCTCTTCCCAATTCTAAGTTCAAATGTGAGTTTCAGTCGTTTAAAAATGACTGGTCTTTAAGATGAATTGCTTTTTATCTTCTTTATGACTCAAGGCTGCAAAGCTTTCAGATGGTACAAAGCACAATCTTTTTAGCTTCAGTAATTCTTATGACAGCAGCTTTTTAGACCAAAGATGAAATCACACAAGGAGAAAGGAGGAAAAGGGAAAAGCGAAAAGGGAAAGGAAAGTTGAGTCCTGAGACCTCCAAGAGGAAATCATGAATTGAAAGTGCACAGGCCAGGGACTGACTTGGTTTAAATGAGTACTTCCACCTCAAGTAACTGTACCAAATTATAATCAGAGCTAATGCCTTCAGACTCCTTCCTTGTCTGGTTTATCATCATCATAATTCAATTTACTAACAGTAAAGCATTCAAAAATATGTTTCATGTTTTTTGAACTGTCTTGTTTGTCATAGTCAAGGAGGACTTGCATATGTGATCTCTGCTACTGCCTCTGTGATCACATTTTTAACTAGATCTTTCTGTCTTGCTATTGTAGCATCATAGCTACAATCTGGTTCCCCTGAATCCCTCATCAGCCACTGAGCAAACAATTAGGTGGCAGGGTGAATTGCTTCCCTTTCTTTGTGATTTCCCCATGAATGTTCAGCTTTCAGAGTAGTCCCTGGAGAGGACATTTCTGGTTCCAGTCAAAGCAAAAATACAGGCACACCTGTGCTTGGTACCTGTAAATCCTTCCTTGGGGGCCTGTAACCAGCATAATTTAAATGACTGAAAATTGCTTTTTAAAAAAAATAGGAGCCTGATCTTAAAACCACCCATGGAGCCAACTTGTATCCAATTTAGTAAACTCCAGTATTCAATGCAGGAAGAATCCTTCCTACGATCAGCTGGTCCCCGTGAACTACAGCCAGTCCCTGAAATTCCCCATTTTTTTGGGCTCAGAGAAGCTTACTAGCTGGGCACAGCACTACCCACAGTGCCTGGAAAATTTCATCTTGCATGCAGCATTCAGTCTACGAGTTCTCTTCATTCCTGGAGCCAGCTCCGATGTAGCCGATGCAGAATAAAGGCATGACCCAAAATTGGCTGTACATGGTGCCAATGTGGGGTCTCCAGCAACATTTCTGTTTGCTGTGGGTTACCCTTGTAAGACAATATTCCATCCCCATCAATATTCCATCCCATCACTCTGGATAACCACAAGATTTTGATTGTCTACAAATTCTACATATGTCTTTCAGCATTATAGCTACCTACAAATTATTTAGGTATATACAGTCTAAGCAACTGATTTGGGGTTAGGAGCAAAAATCGGAAGACTAACTTTTCAGATTCTTTTTAGATATAATTCAGTGTCTCAGCTTGCAAGGCTGTTACCTTTACATCATCAGAAGTTTGACAACTGGCTGGACACACTATACCAAAACTTGGAGAGAATGCTGGACACAGCACACGTGACAGTGACACTGGGTCTGCTGTCTCCCCATATTGTTCCAGGATTCTATTTTTGTTTCTTTCACTTCAGCATGAGTTTCTTTCCTTCACTGGGTCATATTCCTCCAAACATGTAAAAATTCCCCATTACATGTAACTGCTAAGAGAAAGACAACAAAAAATAAAGAAAACCCCCCAAAATGCAATTCATACTCAAAATACAGGTTCACAATTTTGAATTCTTATCTGCAGACCTCAGCACCCTTTCAAGTACCTATTGACTCCTTCCACTGGAGGTGACATGAACTCCCTTGTGGACAGAGGTACTCCTAATTTGTAAACTCCTAAGTTATTGAGAAAAACAAATAGCAGCAGAAGGGTCTATGTGAGCAGGTATTGAAGGGGAAAGAACTGAAGAAGGATTAACACTCAGAGAATCTCTTCACTGATGGACAGCCCTTATGGCACCATGCACTGGCAAGTAAGATAGAAAAGAGGGACCACAGGAACTCTGCCCTGGGACATTTTCTAGTAATTTCATTCAATTTGGGCTCCTGGAGCTACAGTGAATAACAACCCTTTTTTGCACTTCTCATAAATGTCATGTAAGTGAAAGAAAGCCATCACATGAACAACATGGATTTTATTCTTTATTTGCAAGATTTAGTTTGTGAGCTTTGTCTTCTGGGATTTACCTATCTTGTTCTTCTTCTTTAAAACACAATTTTAAAATTTATTTTTAATTTAAATAAAAACCTACTTTTTATTGAGATATGAAGTAGCCATTAAAAAAGCACACACAACATCCATCCCATACCAGCAAATGGACCATATCAGCTATTGGCAGTGAAGGAAGAGAACAGAAAACAGCCATCCAAAGCCATTTTAAGTTAGGCAGTAAAGTAAAACCAGCAAATGGTTAATTTGTTTCTTTTTAGAAATGTTTTGTTACTATTTTGCAAGTTCACGTTGGTGATTTTCACTCCCTAAGAGCTAGCTGTAAGGTTTGTTTGCTAAACCGCAGAAATCACAACATATATGTGCATCAAAAGGAAACCATAAGGAAAAATTAGATGGTGGCAAGAAAAAACAGCATGAGGATGTAATGGGAAGCTCTGAAACTACATGTTAGTCTTCTCATTAGACCAAAAACCCATTTGCTTGATGATGACAGGTTATTGTACTGCAAAAATTATATTCCCCACTTGGA